TGGGGAAGGCAGGACCCGAGGGAAGGACGCCAGGGGGGCAGGTACGGTGAAGGACCCTTGGGGGGCGGGGGAGAGGGCAGAGGCCCTGACGGGACCCCCGTGTAGACCGGCTGGGGGGGCAGGCCAAAACAGGGGGCTCAGTATCCCCCCTGCCTGCCCTGCACTCCTCTCCCTCCCCCGGCTCCATTTCCAGCTCAAAAGCCCATTTTTCTCCCCCGGCTCCATTTCCAGCTCAAAAGCCCATTTTTCTGCTCCAGTAACTCACTGTGGGGCCCCTGGGCCAGGGCGGGCACGGAGCCCCCGCAGCCCCCTGGCCAGGAATGGGGGACATGGGGACAGGTCCCCCTCCTCTGTGCCACCCCCAGCCCTAGACAACCCCTCACCCCCATACCTTCCCCCCCCCTCCCTGGTCACCTCCAGGATCTTCGTCAACCGGAGCCTGGCGCTGGAGAAGATCAAGTGCTTCGGCTTCGACATGGACTACACCTTGGCCAGTGCGTTTTTGGCGGGGGGGGGGAGGCTGAGGCAGGGTAGGAGGGTGGCGGGAACCCCCCCAGCCCATGCCCATGCCACCCTCCCTGTCCCCCTGCAGTGTACAAGTCCCCTGACTACGAGGAGCTGGCCTTCGCCCTGCTGCTGGAGCACCTTGTCTCCATCGGGTACCCCCATGAGATCCTCGCCTACAAGTATGACCCCACCTTCCCCACACGGTGAGTGCCGGCGGGTTTTGGGGGACACACAGGGGACAGGGTGAGGGGGTGTCGGTAGGACCCCCACCCGCTGACGGGGTGTGCGGCACAGGGGGCTGGTGTTCGATGCCCTGTATGGGAACCTGCTGAAGGTGGACTCCCACGGGAACCTGCTGGTCTGCGCCCACGGCTTCCGCTTCCTTAAGGGGTGAGTCTGGGACCCCCGGGGGGGGACAGACAGGGGGGGAACTCTCGATATGGGGTGCAGCTCCGTGCTCCTTCCCCAGGGCCGAAATCCTCCACTATTACCCCAACAAGTTCATCCAGCGGGACGACATGAAGCGCTTCCACATTCTCAACACCCTCTTCAACCTCACGGGTGAGTGAGACGCCCCGCCCCCCCTGCCC